CAACCCTCACCACTTATAATAGGGGATTATTCACAACAAAATTTTCCGCTAGGAATTGTTATTAAATTTAATACCAGCAACTCGATAAAGCGATGGAAATTAAATTCCCGTGAAAATTACGCTTTGAGAGAAACCGTGGGGGTTCGGTAGTAACAACTATGTAATGTTGATGTCACGTTTAATAAAGTAGACGATTCAGTTTCCTCTATGCGTCTACTAATTTATTTCGGTTATAAATAGAGTACAGACGGGTATTAAGGAAAGTTAGATAAAGTACGATAGATTTTTTATATCAGCACGTTGGGGCGTTAAATCCAATTTTAATGCAGAGTTTGATAAAAGCTTAATTTATTAACTAAGGTGAAGTTTACTATTATTTTATAATGTACCTATATGACACAATTGATTGTAATTATAATTATAGTTTTCGATTCGTTTTGGTTTCCAATTCGGAAATTTAAAAAATATATAAATTAAAAATATATTACATTTTGACGCATGCAACGAAAACTGTAAAGTCAATTTTTGTATAATTGGAGTTACTACTTTCTTCTGAATTTGTGGTAACTCTAGCGACTATCTAGACAACTTAAAATACACAATTCAGTTTTGTATTATCTTAAATAACCAACCACATTTTCAACGATAACTGCATTAAATTGAGTTACTGTAATCTTGGCTGCATAATCATCATATTTTTTAAAAAATAATTGTCGTATATTGAGTTACTACAGTTTTCTTTCACTGCAAAATGTCTAGATGATGATGTGTCTTCTTTGAGTTACTATTGACTTGTTTGCATTTTCGTGACTCTTTGAGGTTATACACCTACATAAACATTTGCTTGAGCTTTGTGTGAAGAGTGTTTGAAGTTTAAAATATAAATAGAATTAAACGTACATTGGAGTTATTTAAGAAGATTAGTGAACAACCTGACCCTGGTTAGTATAGATACAAAAGCAATAATATTATTACTTTGGTAACACTTCAAATTTCCTTTTGTCATCGTAAAAGCTATTGATACCTAGTAGGTATTGTTTATATCTAAATTCTTATGACTATCAGAAATATCATAAAATATTCTTCAGGAGACATATAATTTTAACTCTTGTTTGTGATTGTTACAGAGCTGTCTTCACCAATACCCGTGAAACCAACAGAAAAGATAGAAAGTGATTCTATCTATCGTGATAACTGAGCTGTTGAATAGAATTATTAACTATGCAGAGAATCAACTATCATGATATCGAAAATTTCAACTATTCTGATAAGGATCCACATTATGTTCCTGCTGATGATAAAGATAAACCTAAACTAAAAAGAAAAATGGTAATGACAAACACGAAAGGAAGAAATCGTGTCAGGAAGGTGTGGAAAGACAATAAGGCTAAAAAAGAACTTAATGTAGGAAATACATATAAAAATAGAGCATGCAAAGAAATTCTATCAAGGATCATGAAAGCACCATGCAACGAGTATTGCAGAAATGGACGCATGGAAAAAATTTCAAAAAATAAGAGGCAAAACATATTTGAAAATTATTGAGGCCTAGCAGAACGTATCAAACAATGGGATTTCATCACAAAAGTGTTCATATTTTTGTTACATATCACAAAAATGTTTATATCATAAAAAAGCATAAGTAACATAACCTAAATTATGCATTATTCTTGCGCCTGATTCAGTGAAAAGTCAGTTTGAAATAAATAATAAATAAAAGTTTAATTTTAAGTGTAAATTTTAGTTTCATAACACTCACTTAGAATTTATTTTAACCCAAAAATAAAGTTTAATGTTTAAATTTTATTTTTTTGAAGTTTACAAAAATGCATCAAGTTTTTTTGAAGATGCATTAAGATATATTCGCTGTCCAAAAGTTTACAGGAAAAGAATTAATTGTTCAAACCAATATAATGATATCGTGGGCTTAACCTGCTAATTTATGCATTAACATTATTTATGGTAATTTATTTTTCTTAATTCTTCCACATAATTCTTCCATTCTTTTTTGATATTTGCCACTACTAAAGCTTTTCTTTTTGACTCATTGCTTAGTAACCGCTCCAGTGCTTGGTTGAAAAGTTATTTGGTGATTTACTTTTTCAAATCCAGTTTTTATTATTGCATCCATATTAACAGTAATGCTGTAATTTAATAATATGTTTATTTGTATTTACACTACATACAACGTTTACCTTTTAATAACATACCGACATAACCTCAATCTTACTTTTTCTTCTTATTCTTTTTTGGGTCTACGTCCTTGACAGTTATCCGGTAACCTCGATCTAACATGAAAGCGCAGTAAATTTTGCTGATTTACGACACCAGGTGTCGCTGTTCCGAACTTGCACGGTCCCAATACCTATCTTATTCTAGCGCGCCTTGTTTACTTTGTATTTATTCTTACCAGAGATACTCAAGAGATCAAGTGAAGTGCGTAACGCCCAATTTCGCGTAGCTGTCGGTCCCAAGTAAACTTTAAACTTGTATGGTAGTTATTGCTACCAGTACCACTTAAAGGGTATTATTTTTTTTTTTAAAAACATTTATTTTGCTTTCGTACGTTGTTTAAGGCAGCTCCTTGTTTAACGCTTTATTGTTTTTAAAGTTTTTTAAAATTTTTAAAGTATGTAAATACATTAGACCCATATTCTGAACAAGTAAAAGAAAAAATTTTAAATTTTGCTGAAAGCGTTTTAAAATTTGGTGAATGCGCATTATAAATTTCTGGTGGAATCCCCATTATGTTCCCAAAATCAACAAATTTTATAATGTTTAATTATTAGGAAACATAATGCTTGAGAATGTATGAAATATTAAAAATTGAAGAAAAAAGCTTGGAAGATTAATGTTTGATCTAAAAAGTACGTATTAGAAATCAAGTTTTGAGTAAAAAAATAGTTTTTAAATCGTAGTTTTTAAAATCTAGTAAATGATTTATTTTAGATTAAAAAGTGCTTGAGCTTTGTTGTGTTTAATTGTTTATATTTAATATTTTTGGTTACACCAATATTTATGAGAAGTGCAATATGAAAAATTTGTTTGGTTTTGTTTTTTGTTTTTGAAATTTGAGATGTTTTTAAACAAACATCTATTGAACCTATTGTATCAATAGTACATGTACGAAAAAATATTTAACAATATTTACTCAACGAAAGTGTGTATTTTCGAGACTTTACTGAGCAGCATAGGTTAGATAAAATAATTGTGATGTTTCATGGTTAATAACCATCTTGAAAAAATTTACAACAAACCCAAAAACATATTTTGCATTTATTGCATTTACAAAACTTATAAAATTATTTTCATTATCACCGGTGCTAGATATTGTAACGAATATATTTTGCCTACCGCATTAGGGTATGATTATGAGGGTTGAAAATTGGTGACAGAAATTGCTGAGGTGAAGATAGGGCAAGCAAGAAAAAACGATACTTATGCGAACGGCACTCAGGGTTTCTTTGGAGAGCTGGGGTCGTGTATAAGTAAATGGCAAGGGGGTTGAATTGGGGCAACTACAAAAAATAAAACAAAGGGGTACTAACATGAATCTCCTGGAACTAACTAAACAGAAGGAAACACATGTAACGGCAATTTAAAAAGGACGCCGCTTCGAGTTGCCAAATTATAACGATTACAACTAGTTGTAACTATTGAAATAATTGTTAAAAATGAAAAATATATCTTTTTCACATGAAACTCAAAAGAGGGGGTTAGAGAGAGAAGTAAACAAAATGGTTAGAAAAAAATTAAACTTTTATTATGTCTTAACACAAACAGTTACAAAAATAAATGTCACAAATTATTATGTAGATAGTTACAGTTACAAAAACAAAATAAACTGATATCAAAAATACTAAAACTAGCAGCCATATGTCAACAGTAAATTTTAAATCTAAGAACAAATAAATTGACAGCTAAGGTCAAACCCTAAAATTTACAATTTTAATATATTAAAACTTTTAAATTGTATGAAAGCAATTATTACTTTAAAAAAAATGTATATCTTTACTTTGAAATTTTAACACAAAAAGTTACCTTGATTTTCACTAAAATTATACTTGAGTTGTAAACGGGACTTCTTAAAAACTCAACATTGGCTGGGAATCTCTGACACACGAACAAAAAGGAAGATGGGGCACTGGGATACAAACCTGGAAAACTAAACTGGACTTGGCTTCTTAAAAACAGGAATAGGTACAACTGTACAACTGGATACAGTGACAACATTTCAAAACTCACTTCAAACTATAACTAAACCATTAAACTGCTACTATACTTTACACTGCTACACATTTTCCATGAAAAGGGGCAAAAACAGAAAACTTTACAAATTCGACGTGAAATTTGGACAAACACTAGAAGCAGATGTTAACGCTAACAACGCCTTAGCGAGAGTATTGAAATTATCTTTAAAATTAATTTGCATAACTTGGTATAAACAAAACACTTAACGGGAATATTTATTTGAAACACAGAATATGAAACGCAACAGAATGCCGAGGAAATACACATTTGTAAAATATATAAACAAACTCTAAAAATGTATTTATTTTTGACCTCAAGACGTTAAGATGAATTGAAAGAGTTCAGTATTTTAATACGTACGATAGGAACAGATATACATGGAAAATATTCTTCGGTTATCTTATTTTAATACATATATTAGAGGATTTCAATTTAATACATATTCGAGGGAATTTTAATATATAGGAAAATGCAAATGCTACAATATCCAGATGCAAAGACAGGTATTTGTTCCGATTAAAGAGAGATTATTGATTAAAGAATTTATTCCAAAACTTTTTAATTTAAAAACAGAATAGATATGTCATAAAATCACTGCAGTAGACGCAAGGTCATATTTACTTATGGCACAATATATAAAGTATTATGTTTTATGTATAAATATATATAGAAATACATTTTTTTTTCACAGTTGTGTTTACCGTTTTGAAGTCAAAAAGGATGAACGCATCAAAATCACCATCACAGAAATGATCGTCAAGAATCGCCGCTGCGAAACAGTCATCAGCAAAGATACCAACCAATTGGAATGCTTCGGCAATACGTCTGCTACTCTTAGATTCTACGAAGTTCCTTGGAACGATGTGCCGGGTGTTCCGAAAGACTGTTTATGTGCCGTGGACAAAAGTCGCTTGATTCCATTTACTTATTTCTCAACATCGAACGTTGTGGAAATAAGGTTTAATGTTGTGGGTATGAACGCGTCGGATGATTTTGATACGCTGTTTTTCGAGGGACATTGGAAGTATATCAAGACACCTAGCTGCCATAAAAATTTGAGATATCGAGGAGCCAGTGGAGAAGTGACTTTTACACATCCAACTCCATATGAAGAGGTAGGATATTTTTTATTTCTAAAAATTACACTATTGATGATAAATCATTGACAATTATGAGCCATAAAACTATATATTGGTACAAATTATTGCTATTTATTAATATATGTCTGAGCTTGTCTGTGTTTGTCATTGTTTTTGTTTTTGTCATATTCATTTTTAGGCCGACGCGATGTATTGGGAGCTGTCTGTGAGTTCCTCCACCATAATTTCTAATTCCTCGAATGTGCACACTATAATCACGATGTCTTCGATTTAAATTGTTGCCATTAACGTTGGTGAAATATATTGATCAAATTATAGCTTTGAAGGCATCTTTTAGGACTAGATTGAATAAATTTGGCAATTAATACGTCGCGTCGCCTTAACACCTCCCTTAATGAGGATGGGATTGGTACTCTTATCTAGTTGTACTATCATAATTGCGTTTTGATATATATTATGTATTAGTTGTCTATATCTCGAATCTATTTCTCCTCCCCTATATACCCCTTTCTTATATCTAAACGTTTTGTAACACAAAATTGATCATTTGTACCTAAAAGTAACAATTATGTTGTAAACAGTACCGAACATTAATAAACAAGAATATGGAATTTTTACCGTCCAAGTGACACAAATTTTATTGAACATTGATTTCGTAACTCGCGCGTAACTGACATGCAAAATAAACGATTGCTTCAAGCGTTGTTTCTAAGAGAACAGCTTATTCTACACAAAAAATGCTTATAAACATTTCTTCGGCCCAATAGACCTCATCAGAACGGCAATTCGTAGTCACTCTGAACGTGAAAATAAATCTCTTCTGTCCTAAGAAGCAACTCTAACATGGCTTCGAATGGACGCAAATAGCAGCATCTGATATTAAAATCCCTAAACTATAAAGGGGTTAGTGTGAGCCTGGAAAACAATATTTCAAAGGGTATTCTGTTTAGTGATTTAATGAGTGCGATTGATAAATTAAAACAAATCGGATTAAGTGCTAAAGTATGCTGCGCGAAAAAATTAAGGGATATTGCCAATATATTGGTTATGGTACTTGATTCTGTTTTAATTATTTGCAAGTAAACAATTAAAAATTATAATAGTTTTTAATAACATGAAAATTTGAGACCTTATAAAGAGAATCAGACCAAAAAAGCATTCTAAGTATTGACAAAGCACCCAAATAAAATAACCTTTGTTCTCTCAAAAGGAATAAACAAATATAATTGTTTAAAACTTACTTGACCGGTTGTGTAGGTACAAATAAAGTAACTACATAAAAACTCACATTATAAAATGTGTTTTAAATATTTTTATTGTTTATTTTAATAATTATAAACAAGTGAAAAACATGCTTACTCTCAAGTTTAATTTGCAATAACTTTTTTTGTATATAAACAAAACATTTTTTAATTTAAGAAATATCATGTAAAAGAAAATGTATTTTTAAAAAAGTCGCCTGTTGAACGTTTTTATCCTGAATACTTAGGTTTTTCACAGTATTGAAATGAATGAAAAAAGTCCACTTTTGCTTAAATGTCATGACGCAGTAAAAGTTTCGATGACCACGAGATAATAGTCCCAGTAATTTTTTGATTTTTCAAGTAATTTTTTGTCTTCGTTTTATGGGATAATAAACTATAAACAACTTATAAATTTAATTTAATTTAATTTATTTATTTATTTCTTTGAAAAAAAAACTAGTGTAATTTGTTAATGTAGATAAGTGACTTAATTGATTCATACAGTTATATAATTGTTGAATTATTGTTTATATAATATTTAGCTATATTCGTAACTTATGCCTCTCAGTTTAGATCATGTCACATTATTAACCAGAAGAATAATATTGTAAGCCAATAATAACGGTAATACATTCAAACTAACCTAGATACTAGGAAATAGTGACATTAAAAAAATGAATATGTAGATCAACTGTCTAAAATTGGAATTAGTCTCAAAGTCCCTGCTAATATAAAACTAAATTATAAACAGTAACTTAGTGACACAATTGAAAGCCAGAATGAAAGGAAATCACATCAATATCTGGAAAACTCGATTCAATTAAAAGGGAAATGGTATAGAGAAATCACAACAATCATTTACAGATACACCATGGTTTAACTTACTTACTTACTTAATCAGTAGACCCATTTGTACCTTTCGGTGTTAGACCGTTTATAATACAATTCTTTATATTACAATATTTTACAATCTTCTGAGGTGTCCTAGCTCTTGACAAACTTTCTCCATTCCTTTTTATTGTATGCCATCTGTGTTGCTTCCTGCCAAGTCTCACCCTTACTCTGCAATATCTGCGAGATGTCACTGTTCCATTCTTTAATGGGTCTTCCTCTTCTGTTCTTCTCTATTGGTTTGGCGTCCCACACTCTTTTTACTTATCTATTATTGTCCATCCGGGTTAGATGTCCGAACCACGCCAATTTTTTCTCCTTGATTGAGTCGAGTATCGGTTTGATTTTGAGTCTTTCTCTTATTTCTTCATTTCTGATTCTATCAGTTCTTTTTTCTCCGATCGTTTTTCTGGGGTATTTCATCTCTGCTGCCTGAATTCTGCTTTGATGCCTTTTGTTTAGTATCCAGTTTTCTGTTCCATATGTCTTCTTCTTCTTAAGGTGTCGTGCATTTCTGCATAGGCGTCCACCGTACATCGTCTTGTCAGGTGAGATGTTAAATATTCTGGATTAAATAATTCTGTTTTTAGCAGCATTGCGAAGCATTTCATAGCTGTGGATTCCTGTCCATTGTCGAATATTGTATATATTTCTATATATATATATAGACCTACCATATGTAGGTCTATATATTGTTTTGTATATTGTCATCTTGGTCTTTGTTGATATTTCTTTGTTATTAAGGAATCCTCTATATAGTGCTTAGAATAGTTTTTCTGTGTTTTTCATTCTGTTGTTAAGATCGTCCTCGATGTCTCATTTGCTGTTGATTACTGTTTTAAGTATTTGTATGAATTATGTCTGTATTACTTTTTATTGGTCTAACATTATTTTTAGTTGATTCTCCGTCCCTTGTTTCCTTGAAATTTTCATTATCTGAATCTTCGCTTTGTTAACGTTTAAGTTGTATTTTCTTGCTTCTAGGTTCCGTTTCTCTAAGTTGTATTTCAGTTTTTCTGCTGTTTCCGCAATTAATACTATGTTGTCTGCAAATTTACACATCTCAGCTATTATCATTTGCATTCTGTTTCAATCGATGCAGTATTTCTTGAATGTTTTCTTACATTATTTCACTATCTCATCTATTACATTTATGAATAGCACTGGGCTGAGACTTCCCCGTTGTCTAACTCCTTGAGTTGTTTCAAATGGTTCTGACTGCATATACCATGATTTAAAAAGTTTTCATGTAATAATAGAAAAACACTGTGAATTTTGTTTAACTTCTAAATCAGTTGCAATTATATAAAAGGGTTTATTTAAACCTTTAAATATAAGTAAAAATATTTTCATAAGAATAAATGGATACTATCCTGCTCCAAACATGGAATCAAATATTTCCAATAAGCATTTCGAGCAATCTATTGCTGTACGGTCGAGCTATATTTACGGTCTCGGCGATTAGAAATCCTTGTTTGAATTTAAAACTTTGTTTTTCTTCTTATGGTGCCGTCTCCATTACTGGCTGTACCTACAGCAAATTGTTCTCTATCTTACGTTGTTCTTAGTAACGAATGTGTGTCCATGCCTATCCAGTCTCTTACATTTTTCAGCCAGGAAGGAGCATTTTTTTATATGTCGAAAATTAGTCGAAGTGATTTGGAAAACTGTTTTTTTGTTTTTGTTATAATGTATTTGTTAACAACAATTTCCGACCCACTTGAACTTAAAAAAATATATAAAATTGAATAAAAAAGGTTTGATGCGGTAGAAATGCAAAAAAAAATCGATATTATATAGTCGATATGTTTCGTTTTTAAGGGACATTTTACAGGTAAACCTCTCGCCTATAGCCTATAAAGAAAATTTATTTATTTATCGTATGGCACACAATAAGAACACATAATTAAAAATCAATATAAATGTTACATGGATTATAACAAACGAACATCCAATGTGTAAGATATTCATGTTTGAAGAATAAGAAGAATTTGTACTGTTATTTGTCAAGTCACAATGTATGTGAGGACATAACCTATATACGACAATTAATTAGCAATTTGAGTGTAATGCATTTGTTTTGTAATTTGTAAAACGTTCTTTTGAAATATATGTTTATTTGAGCCATCTACCATTTATTATTACTATATAACAATTATTTGGCGACGAGGAAAATAATTAAACAGATATTTTAAACAAATAAACATTTTAATAGTTCAAAATGTCTAGAAATGAAGATAGTGCCATGGGTTACCAACCAATTATTGACGTAGTAAATACGGGCGGTATATCTTCATTAGCCATTTTTAAACAGGGTGACGATTTTGAAGTTTTTGAGCATTAGCTCAAAAGCATTAGCTGTATATTGGTCTGTTTCTAAACTCTACCAATATTTAGCTGGTCAGAAATTTAAAATTTCAAGTGACTATAAGCCTCTGCAAGCTATCTTTGGAGAGCATAAAAGCTTACCAAAAATGGCTGCTGGGCGTATTCAACGTTGGTCATTGTTTTTAGCTGGTTTTAATTATACTTTTCGCTTTATTAAAGGTGTAGATAACTCTAAAGCTGATGATCTATCAAGGTTATCTTTACCTGTAGGTGAAGATGAAATTGAAACAGATTTAAATTTTGAATATATCAATTTAGTGGAAAACTTACTACCAGTTGATTCAAATTTATTACGTTCTGAAACAAGAAAAGATGTAGTTTTAGGTGGTGTGTATAATTTAATTAGATATGGGTTTCCTAAACATATTGAAAATTTAATTCTTAAGCCTTTCTTAGCTAGAAAAAATGAACTTTCAATAGAAAAGGGTATTATTATGTGGGGTTATCGAGCATTCCCACTAGCCTCAGACAACAATTGCTTGAGGAACTTCATAGTAATCATGAAGGGATAATTAAAATGAAATCAAATGCACGTTCATACTTCTGGTGGCCTAACCTAGATTCTGATATAGAACAAAGAGTAAATGGTTGTAAAGTCTGTGGACATCTAAAACCAGAGCCCATCAAAGCTAAATTAATCAAAACTCAATTATCTACTTATTTTTATGAAAGAATTCATGCTGATTTTATGAGACCTATAAAGGGGAAAATGATACTCATAATTATTGATTCTTTTTCGAAGTGGCCTGAAGCTTTCATAATGAGTTCTACTGATACAGAAGCTCGTTTTAGAGAATGTTTTCCCGATTTGGTTTGCCGCGAATTGTTGAAACGGACAATGAAAATCAGTTTACTTCTGAAAATTTTTCTAATTTTTTAACTAATAACGGTGTAAAATTTTTGACTTCACCACCTTTTCATCCAACATCGAATGGATTTGCGGAAAATGCGGTAAGATCTATTGAATCTGGTTTAAAAAAAAGCACTTTTAGATGAAAAAAAACAAAAATGTTTCATTAAATACATTATTGTGTCGATGTCTTTTCTCTTACAGGAATTCAGTTCATGCTACAACAGGGTTGTCTCCCTCAAATATTATTTTTAAGTTAACGATAAGAACACATTTAGATTTATTAGCACCAAAAGGTGTGCAAGTTAATGAAAAAGCAAATAAGCAAGAACAGAATTATAAATGGTAAAGAGATGTACATTTTGAAGTAGGGGAGAGAGTCTGGTGTAGAGATTATAGGAACCCAAATAAAAAATGTTGGGTGGAATGTGAGATTGATGAGATTTTAGGTGATAGAATTTATTTTTGTAAGTTAATAGATCAAAACATTGTTTGGAAAAGACATTTGAACCAGATATTAAAGAACATATCTAACCCCTTAGATGTAATTGTACCAAATGAGAATGTGTCTCAACCTTTAGATGTAGTTGTGCCAAATCCAGTTATTATACAAAATGAATCAGAGCAAGAACTACCGATAACTCCCGAGACAGAGCTAGAGATGATTCCAGAAATAAGTGAGAATGGTTTAAATTCTGATAAAAATACTTCAGAGGTTAAAAATGAAATTTTGTTAAAAACTGTATCTGGTGCAAAAGATAATATTAAATTAGTTAGTAGTAGACCTAAGAGGGAAATTAAACCACCACAACTATTGAATTTGTAAAGGGAGGTATTTGTAAGATATTCATGTTTGAAGAATAAGAAGAATTTGTACTGTTATTTGTCAAGTCACAATGTATTTGAGTACATAACCTATATATGACAATTAATTAGCAATTTGAGTGTAATTAACCTGTTTTGTAATTTGTAAAACGTTATTTTGAAATATATGTTTATTTGAGCCATCTACCATTTATTATTACTATATAACACAATGTAGTATTAATATAATGTAAAACATTTTCGGTCGCATTCAGGAACTCATCGAAAACTCCAGGGAATCGCCTTCGGGGGCATTCTTCAACAATGTGACGTACGGTCTATTGTTCTTATTCTGTTTCTCGTTGTCCATATATTGCGAGTCAGTTTAAAGCCCGGCGGTTTCTGATCGGTACAGGCCATTTGGCGTGCTTCTTGTGATGAGTCGCTCTCCCATTGTCTTCTCCAACTGTTGCTGAGGTTGAAATGTAACTGATGTAAAGAGTTGGCTCTTAGTAATGGAGGATATCTGAAGCGCAGTCTGTTTATTTCAATATCAAGCTTATCGTGGTGAATGAGTAGTTGATGGTTGGTCTTGATTTTTCGATATTCTCTGAAAAGAAAATGACTTTTCCGCAGTTTCGGTGGTAGAATGTGACTCAGAATGGGAAGCCAATAGTTTATTGTGGGTCCAATTGTACTTGAGATCATTCGCATTATCTGGTTAGTTGGGTGTCAATAATCTTCGTGTGTTTGCTATTGAGCCATACCGGGAAATATATTCAGCCGCCTAGTATACAAGTCCGAGGGCGGATGATCTGAGTACAGAGGCTGAGGAGGCCCATATGGTACCACATAGCTTTTGGACTATATTATTTTCCGTTTTGAGTTTTTCTGCCATTCTTTGTAGGTGTTTTTTAAAACTTAATGTTCTGTCAGTCACTCCAAGATATTTAGGTTTTGGGTTATGATTGAGCAGTCTGTTTTTAAAGTGAACGGAGAGTTTTTTGTTGGCTTGGGTATTATTCAGATGAAAACAGCACACTTTGGTTTTCGTTGCATTGGACCGTAGCCTTCATTTGCGAGTATTTTCCCATAATGGTAAGGTCATCCGTAAGTATTGTTTCTGTAATATCCACGTTATTATGTCTTGCTGCAATGGTCAGTCATCAGCGTAGTCAAATTTTTGCAAAGTTATCCTAGGTAGGTCCACGATGTGTAAATTAAACAGTAGGTGTGCCAAAACAACAACCACATAATCAAAATTTTTTAATGGTATTTTATATAAAATAAATATTGAGAAAACTGGAAATCAAATGTATAAAATTTCATAGGGGATAAAAATCAAAAAACAATAAATATAATTTAAAAAAAGCCGTTTAATAGAGAAATAATTACTTAATCGAAAACCGTACATAACATTTAGTAAATAAACATCTGTATAACTTTCCTGAAATATGGTATCGAGTTTAAACAAACAGTCTGAAGTAATAACAAACACGGGGAGATACTACCTGTTTAGATTATGGTATTAGCAGTGATTTATTTGTATACCTAAACACGAACGTAAACAAATTTATATAGCGATTCTGGTTTGAAATTAATTACGAATTAGATTTGTAATAAAAATACAAAAATTTTGCGGTATATATAAATTTATTTATGTTTATTATAGATATATTAACAGTTAATACATTTTTTTATTTAAAAATTATCGTACCGTGTGTGAAATTTGCGTACAATATATGGA